GTGCACATAAAAGCTTGTGTACCTAAATCAGTCCTAGCATTTGGCACATGTAATAAAAACACATCCTGAGATCTTAGGCAATAGCTACTTGCAACTCTCTGTGAGATCAGATGTAAGATGGTAGTTTACCCAACATGGCTTTGTAGATGAACATGTACCAATGACTGAGTCTCCGAACAGTACGTGAAGGCAAACCTGCCCTGGCATACAGGGTACAGTGAGGAGTGAGTACTTTACAGTTTGTAACAAATCTCAGCGCACTGTGATAGGCGGATAGGCTTGATTGCAGAATTTATTTATTTATTCATTTGTTTAACAGGGACAGTGCACATTAATGAACATTTCTGTAAATGTGCCAGAGTTAGCCAAGAGGCTATTTTTCATCTGTGGTCCCTGGACAGATTTTAAAAGTAAACCTAAAACACATTTCATTTTAAACAAGTAAATACAATACATTTAAAACATGCAACAGACATTACTGGGATACTTAAATAAACAATTTGGTAAATGGTAAATTCCTATCATGGACACATCGATATAGAAGCTGCACTTCCACAGTTTTTCCAGCAGGGGGCTCTCTTATACTTCCCCATGGCATTATTACCCTGTCCAGATCTGCTCTTACCTACCTACTGCCGCCTGGCCTTTAAATCACATCGCTCCAACATCAGAGCAGAATGTGTGAATGTCAGCTCAGCAGTGCCCTGTCTTTGGCCAGCTGTTGATTAGGCTTTGTGGTACTCGTGTCCAAATCACACAGTTGGGCTGTTGAATGTGATCCCCATCCTCTGATGTTGGTTCATTTCATCTTCATTAGCGGCGCCAGGCAAACATCTGTCATTTGTGTGTTTTGGACACAATTAACATCAAATGAAAAGGCATGGTTTTATCAGTTGTTGCTCTTGCTCTGCCCTTTTCATCCACTTTCTCCATCCCTGAATGTTTCATCAATCTTTGCACCTCTTCTCTGTGTGTGAGGCTGGTGTGTTAATGTGGGTATAAAGGCAAGACCCACTCTAAGTATACATCTTCCTGTAATCTCTTTGAATTGATGCCACTGCTCAAAATATGGCCTCATTACATCTCAATAGGCCTGATGTAAGAGGGGAAAACTTTAGATAAGATTGTGCTTTTGGAAAACTGACTCCACACTCACATCAGGCAAAATGAAATTCAATGTGTGAAGGCGTCGAGGATAATTCAGGGACAAAGATGTAGATCTACAGAATACTTCATGATTACACTTCCAGAAGTGTTTGCTTAAAGGTGGGGTAGGTAAGTTTGAGAAACCGGCTCGAGATACACTTTTTGTTATATTCCATGGAATGCTCTTAACATCCCGATAGCAATGAATATCTGAAGTGCTTTGACAAAAAATCCATTAAAAAACTTCATCTGTGGAAGCCGTGGCGCTGTAAAAAGCACGACCAATCATCTGAGCCGGCCCGGCTAAAATAACTGGATGGCCTACCTGCCTGTCAGCCTTCCATCTGTGCACAAACTTATCTCGTGCCCTCATTGGTCATGTGCGTGTTCGTGTGTGTTGGAGGAGGGGCTCTGTAAGGAAGTGGCAGATTTTGTTCCGGTTGTGTATTTTCAAATTCTAGCGCACTCGAGCTGGTTTCTCCAAAATGACCTACCCCACCTTTAAGTCTTAAGGTTTAATATAAATGTAAATCTTAAGTGGGATTCTCAGTTTGTAATCCCCCTCCCGCCTCTTTTCCTTTCTCCTGAAGGTGTTCACTGCACGCATGGCTTCAACCGGACTGGCTTTCTGGTGTGTGGGTACCTGGTGGAGAAGATGGACTGGAGGTAACACTTGACCTCCTTTCATCACTCCCTCTGCTCCGAGTGCAGTTTTAGTACCTTCACGTGTCTTGCATGATAATGTGAAGCCCCTCCCCCTAGTGTCTTCCATCACAACCCCTGTCAGTCTGTGAATGCCGTCTCCTGCTGATAGTTCCTAAATGTGTGACGGCACGAGAAGTTGCACTGTCAGTTTGAATCAACAGAAGCTGCCTGGTTAGCATTGACCGCGCTCGTGCCCCTTTGACAGAGATGTTAAATAATTTACAGCGGCTGAGCAGAGCGGAGGGTGGGGAAGTGTCTTTAGTCAGAGGTGGAGCAGCAGTCTGAGGAGGCAGAATCCCTGGGAGCTGTCTGCATGTATAGGCAGGATGAAACCCTCTCACCGCCCACCTCCTCCTGAGTACTGAGGGATCTGGGAGCATTCACAGCCTCCTTCCAGTGTAGCAACATCATTTTACAACCACATAATACATATTTGGGTATGTGGCTAGTCATTGAAATATACCTGCCGTAAATAACCTGCATGAGGTTTTCACCTTTAGTTATTTTGTCTATAAAACGTCAGAAAAAAGTAGGGCTGTGCAATTAATCGTATTTTAATCTCGATTTTGGCTTGCAACGATTACGAAAACAACGTAATCGAAATAAAACCTTTTTAATTAATTTAAATTTATTTTCTTTTTTTATTGGTTTTTCAGTTGAGTTATACTTAAAGTTCAGGGTAATCAAATGTTAAAAACATATTGTTCACATTTTTTTTTTGCAATAAATGGATGTTTTCAAAGTAAATGGATAATCGTTTTTAATATCAATCAATTATTGACCGAAATAATCGTGATTATGATCTTTGCCATAATCGAGCAGCCCTAGAAAAAAGTATATCAAAGGAACACCACTCTTTCCTAGAACCAAAGATGATGGCCTTTGATATAATGATTTGAAGTAGCTCGTTTTATACGACACTGTCAAAGACCCTAAACCAATCGATTAAAAGCTGAAGCAATCAATGGAATAATTCATCATTGAGATAATTAGTTTTTGCTTTCAAGATAAGATGAAAAACTTTCCACTTTTTGTATATCCAATCTGAGGAGTAGCTGCTTTTACTGTTTGTTTGTTTATCTTTGAATATTGGACTGTTGTCTGACTCTAACAAGATATTCAATGAACCAACCTTGGGCTTTAGGAGATTGTGAAGGGGTGCCTATTTTTTTTTACTACTGTTTTAAACACTAAACTAGATCATGCTCAGGCTGACGTATAATGCAAATGGTCCTCAACTGCAGCCACTATTTAATTAACTTCAATGTAAGACATAGAAAAGCAGCAAACTCTGACATCTGAGACGCTGAAATCATCAAATGTTTTGAATTAATGCTTTAAAAAATGTCTTAACTGATTAATCAAGTATCACAATATATATAAGTTTCATTTTTCCCACCAACTTCTACCTCTAGTTATGATAAAATCTGAAATACAGAAAAAGAAACGACATTGAAAAGAATAAAATATAATCTGCTTCTTTAAAGATGCCCTGTCTGTGTTGTTGCCTCTTATCAGCGTGGAGGCAGCCGTGGCGGCGTTCACGCAGGCCCGGGCCCCCGGGATCTACAAGGGAGAGTATCTCAAAGAGCTTTTCCGTCGTTATGGAGAAGAGGAGGATTCACCCCCTGCCCCCGCGCTCCCCGAGTGGTGCTTCGACGACGATGACGAGGAGGACGTGGACGACGATGGAAAGTCTGTGGGCCAGGATTCGGGCCCCAGCTCCTCGGGGTCATCGGCTGGCAAACGAAAGAAAGAAAAGATCAAGCTGGTAAGACTTGCGGGAAAAGGACTGCTAAGTGGACTGCATTGGGTTTCCCCTCTCTGCAGGACATAGGCCTCATGCAGTGTCTAGGGAGACATTTCTTCTCAGTGGAAAAAGCTCCTATGTTATATATAGAAAACAAAATGCGCATCACAACATCTCAGAACAAGTGTTCATATGTCAGGGGGTCCGCGGGGTCTTAAAAAGTATTAAAAGTCGATAAATCAATTTAGTGAGAATTAAGGCTATTAAAAAGTATTAAACGGCATTTTCCAAGGTATTACATTTTGTAGCTTGTTTTCAATAAGTATATCAATGGTCCAAAGAGGTTGTATTCTACAGTCTGCCTGAATGTAATCATTGCATAGGTGTGTAGTGTGATTCTGTGTAGTTTATTTATGGCATCCCGTTGGGTTTGACGTCATCTGAACAGGACATCGCACGCTCACTGCTTGATAGCGCGCAAAGGTCCGTTTACGCCGGTTGTTAAACAACATCGTTATGGGGAAATGCAAGTCTGCGTCCAAATAAGGAAGAAGGACAATCAATACTGTCTATAGTCAATGTGAGGTAAAGTGTGTCGCCAATGTAACCGGTTAAAACTCCAAGTGGCGATGAGGTCTTCAAATGTATGGAAAGGGTCTTAAAAAAGGTCTTAACAGGTCTTACATTTGACTTCAGGATTCCTACATTTACCCTGAATGTATCCAAACTAGGGGGTGCAACAACTAATCGACTTTATCGATTAAAATTGATGACCAAATTAGTTGCCAACTAATTCAGTCGTCGATTCGTTGGTGACGTCATCACGTGTGTTTTACGCGCCGATAAGCTCCAACGTTATTGGTCTTTTTATCGGTACTGGAGACATAATATGGATCGGCATGAAGGTGTTCTTTTCCCCATAATGACCAAGTTGCTGCACATTATCCCGCTTATTACATGGCCACATTCTCAACAAAGTAACGACATGACTCCCAATATTAATTGAAATGCTTTTA